ACGTAGAGTGTGATCGAAAAAAGGCGCCCCTCGAAATTTCTCAGCGTACGTAAATATCAGGAAGGCTCAGGTACCAAGCTCCCTAATGGGAAGATTCGAAGATCTCGATGAGCTCTCTTCAATGGAAGTTGACTCAATTGCATACTCTCCATACTCGACAAGCTATGACCATATGGAGAAAGCCGTATATAGGAGAATGTGCTGGCAGATTTCATTTCTGCAGAGTTTCCGTGGTCTATCGATGGTCCAACTTAGCAATATGCAACGATATTTCATCATTTGGCATTGGAACGGTAAACTTGGTTGGGGCGCCTATGCCATCGTGCGTTCAACTCGGCGATATGCAACGATATTTCATCATTTGGCATTGGAACGGTAAACCTGATTGGGGCGCCTATGCCATCGTGCGTTCAACTTGGCGATATGCAACGATATTTCATCATTTGGCATTGGAACGGTAAACCTGGTTGGGGCGCCTATGCCATCGTGCGTTCAACTTGGCGATATGCAACGATATTTCATCATTTGGCATTGGAACGGTAAACCTGGTTGGGGGCGCCTATGCCATCGTGCGTTCAACTTGGCGATATGCAACGATATTTCATCATTTGGCATTGGAACGGTAAACCTGATTGGGGCGCCTATGCCATTTTGCGTTCAACTTAGCGATATGCAACGATATTTCATCATTTGGCAATGGAACGGTAAACCTGATTGGGGCGCCTATGCCATTTTGCGTTCAACTTAGCGATATGCAACGATATTTCATCATTTGGCATTGGAACGGTAAACCTGGTTGGGGCGCCTATGCCATCGTGCGTTCAACTTGGCGATATGCAACGATATTTCATCATTTGGCATTGGAACGGTAAACCTGATTGGGGCGCCTATGCCATCGTGCGTTCAACTTGGCGATATGCAACGATATTTCATCATTTGGCATTGGAACGGTAAACTTGGTTGGGGCGCCTATGCCATCGTGCGTTCATTTTGGCGATATGCAACGATATTTCATCATCTGGCATTGGAACGGTAAACCTGGTTGGGGCGCCTATGCCACCTATGCGAACTGCAGAAAGTTGGACCATGGATCGACGCAAATACTATGAAATGGAATCTGCCCCCTCTCTCTCCGTACGGCCTTCTTAGTCCCGTTATAGCTCAGCGAATGTTGAGAGTATGGAGGTTGACCAGCATTGGAGAGAGTTCGCCAAATGCTTCAAAATAGTGGCAGAATTCATCTGATATTCGCATGCGTTGAGAACTTACGGGTAAGGAGTCCTTCTTTCTCGATCACTCTGTGTATTCCTTCAACACTCAAAACAAGTGTCATTCACAGTAGCCATCAGTTAAACCAGTGTGCTGCGTACGGCTTCCTCAACAGTATCTCAATACTCGGCTCGAGATCAACAAGCACCTTTCAGTTGAAGAACCTCCCCCAAGAATGATGGTCCTCTTCGTTTATCACCGTGGTACCATCTCGCATGTATTCGCTTGTTCCACATCCCCGAGGGGGTTGAGCAGGGGAGACACATGGTGTAGGATGAGTGGTGTAGCACACATAGTATGTCTGTGGTCATTGTATCATAGCCTAGCTTAGTAATGTCTGGGCTACTTGCTGAGTTGTAATAAGTTGGATCATCACTCTGATCAACTGTTGAGTTAGCCCGGCGGCTGCTCCAATAATAGCGAAGTAGGGAGAGAGTCTCGACTTACGATGGTGATCATCAGGGCGCAACTGATCAACTAAATGGATGCTTCTATCGAACCCGATACGATTACCCCCCCCCCCCCCTCCCCCTGCGCGAAGAAGGGAGGAGGCTTCTAATCTACGCTCACTACCCTCACCCATACCGGCTCCACAACAACAGACAGACAAATTAGCGCCAGTCGGGATCACCCTAGGGAGCAACAGAACCGTGATAAATGCAGACAGGGATAGTAATTGAAACTTTGCCCCTTGGAACACCACTGCATAAGAGAGGAGCAACGAATATAGTGTGACCACGTTAGGTCAAGTCGAAGCTCTCCCCAGTAAAGTTGAAGACACAATTAGCGTCTATTTCGCCACAAGTGACCGGAGTTGCAGAGGAATGGACGATACTGATCGACCGAACTCTTCAAATGGTCCTTGTTTCTGCCAGCGATCCGGCGACCCCATTACTGTCGTTTATGCAGCACAGTTTAGACGCATACACCGTAGGTACCAAGCCCAGTGGATTAGTGAGAATTGAGGAAAATCTCGGGGGAAATGGACGGGCTCGTTTAGCCCGTGACGAACACGGGTAGCTTAGTCCCGCGTTATGTGGTCTCAAGTGACCATCAGGTATAACATCACTGTTGTTTGAATCGCAGGAACATTCTCGTGTGATCGGTCGGTTCGACAAGACCAATACCCAATATACGCATCCTATACTCTGCATCTAGAGTGCAGTCGAGCATACAAGAGATGCGAGGCACTGAACTCAATATACGTATGAGACCCCGTGGCGCAATGGAAACGCGTCAGTTTTCGGAGCCGGATGTTGCTGGTTCAAGTTGTTCTACGTATGATTTAGGAGGACGTCATTGACTAATAGGCTCCTACTAGCGCTATGAAACCTTCCGCTGGATCGCACACTACTTCTGGGCGTGCACAGTAGCGTAACGAGAATATGCTGATACCTTGCGCTAGAAACAACTCGTTTGAGGCAGGATAAGGCTTCTGGGCTCAGGCCAGTAAGGGCTTGTGGCAGAATCTGGGATGGTTGCGATTGAATTGTTCCGTCGGTCTCCTCTAGGAGCAGTCCCCTTACCTCGAGACGTTGAACGGTTGGAAGGAGAACGCTCTCGAGGCCAGAGGCATTGAATTCAAATAAGGAGAAGTCCAAGCCGATCTAAGACAGATAACTGGAACCTGTTTTTTATCGGTCCCACCCAGTGATTCTCCGAGGCACACACCCTCGAATAGCGATATCGCAGAGAACTCCAAGAGTACGAAATGCTGTGCGGATCAGAGGCCAATGACGCTGAGCTGTCCGACAGGCACCGTGAACTGCGTCGGATAGATGCATAGGGTTTGGGGATGCCACGGTGATGTGCACCGACGGAGCCAATATCCACCTGAGCAGAGCTACACTTTAAGTATTGATTTCCTGTAGTATTGCGATGTTTGTGAAGCAAGCTTCGATGCGGATGATGCACCTTTCCACTATCGCAGCGGACCAGTCCTGCTCGTTTTAATTGTCTGTGTCGTCCATATCTGAGATATGGAAATCTGATACCTCTAACGGCGCGGCGTCAAACAGGACGTGGAGAACATCAGGCAAGTGTATACTTGAGCGAGGAAGAGAATGTGACCTACCACAAACTCTCGTCGACAATGACCATTACCTCATCATATATTCACCGATGAAGGGCTTCTGTCGAACGAAGTGAAGTCGGAAACGGTTCAATCGAGTTCCACCCGAAGGTTGTTTCATCGATAGCAAGGGTGGCATCAAGATGTTCATCAAAAGGTTGGGCACTACCACACATTCCTATTTCGGCCACCAAGTAGACATAGAAAGAAGAAATCGTATGAGTGAAACCCGATTGGATATTCATACGGTAATCATCATTCCCTCTGATGCGGGAGCCTTCCGAGGTCGGGATATGGCGTCAAATATCCCCCAGCAGGCCTTCTATGATACCTGCCCGCAGAGCTTCATATGTCGTGTCGCTAAATAGTGCAAATCCAACCCTGACGTTGCAATGGTGAGGAGCAATAGTAAGGTCACTTACAAGGTAGAGAAGTATATGACAAATTATGTAAGTTGAGACCGTAGGAGAACGCGTGGTCGGTTATCAACCAAATCCCGATGGGACGCTGAGAACTAGACTGACTAATCTCGATGCTCGATAAGATCAATTAGCTTATGCCCAAGAGGTTTATCCTAAATAAGAAATGTTGAACTGTCAGCCTGTGATAAACAACTGTGTCGCGAGATACAACTCTCACGGTAGCGAAATTGGAATTTAAACGCGCTGTGATATAAGACGTTCCCTCTTCTGAATGATCATCTTTGCCATCATGATTAATAAATGAAAACCATTGCCCTCCGGTATCGGCAACCAAGTGGAATTTGCCTCTGCCAACGTTGCAATTCTTCCCCGCAATTTGTCGATTGGAGTTACTTCAATCGTTTCGATGGAATTTATCTTCCTTCCACTTGCTCCTGCGAGGTTGAGTGTACTCCTTCATATTATGGAGTGGCATAGCCGCCCCACCCGACAGAAATGATTTTCCTTCCACTTGCTCCTGCGAGGTTGATTGTACTCCTTCATATTATGGAGTGGCATAGCCGCCCCACCCGACAGAATTTATCTTCCTTCCACTTGCTCCTGCGAGGTTGATTGTACTCCTTCATATTATGGAGTGGCATAGCCGCCCCACCCGACAGAATTTATCTTCCTTCCACTTGCTCCTGCGAGGTTGTTTGTACTCCTTCATATTATGGAGTGGCATAGCCGCCCCACCCGACAGAATTTATCTTCCTTCCACTTGCTCCTGCGAGGTTGATTGTACTCCTTCATATTATGGAGTGGCATAGCCGCCCCACCCGACAGAATTTATCTTCCTTCCACTTGCTCCTGCGAGGTTGTTTGTACTCCTTCATATTATGGAGTGGCATAGCCGCCCCACCCGACAGAACTTATCTTCCTTCCACTTGCTCCTGCGAGGTTGATTGTACTCCTTCATATTATGGAGTGGCATAGCCGCCCCACCCGACAGAATTTATCTTCCTTCCACTTGCTCCTGCGAGGTTGTTTGTACTCCTTCATATTATGGAGTGGCATAGCCGCCCCACCCGACAGAATTTATCTTCCTTCCACTTGCTCCTGCGAGGTTGATTGTACTCCTTCATATTATGGAGTGGCATAGCCGCCCCACTCGACAGAATTTATCTTCCTTCCACTTGCTCCTGCGAGGTTGTTTGTACTCCTTCATATTATGGAGTGGCATAGCCGCCCCACCCGACAGAATTGATCTTCCTTCCACTTGCTCCTGCGAGATTGATTGTACCCATTGATATTATAGGCTGGCATAGCCGCCCCACCGGACAAAGTTGATCTCCCTATCATGTGCTCCTGCGAAATTGATTGTACTCCTTCATTTTATAGGGTGGCATAGCCGCCCCACCCGACAAAATTGATCTCCCTATCATGTGCTCCTGCGAAATTGATTGTACTCCTTCATTTTATAGGGTGGCATAGCCGCCCCATCCAATTCACTAAAAGGTCCCATAAGGTGTAAAGACGACTCGACAGTGTTATAATATTTGTCCCTCATCATGAGGGGATATTTACACTCGGGTAGCCGAAATGTAGAAAAACCAACGCGAATTAACTAAAGGAGTTTCCTTATTGTCATCAATACGTCTTGTTGAGCGTGTACCTATTCCCCCCTTCTCTGATCAGAAGGTCACTTTCGACCAAACAACAGCTGCTTTCAATACACCAACATCAAACAACATGTTCTACGAGGAGTAATTGTGTATTATTCGTCTACGATAACACGCACGGTTTCTTCTGACCTTCCC